AACTCTACTCCGTGAAAATCCTTCTGAGTCCGCTGATAGAGCTCTGACAGATTCTTTTTTAACAGTTGTATAAAATTCTATTCTATGGTTATATATGATTTACTGAGACATTCCCCTATTTGATGGCATTCACTTTCTCTCTTCCTGGATTTTTTAATTTTAATTTGTTTTTCGCCACCCAAACAACACTGAAATAAACATCCTTATGCATATAGCTTCACACATTACTGCCTTTCTTTTCATGGGCTACAGACTCAGACTTTGAAACTGCTGTGTCAAGGGCTACAAGTACGTTTAATCATAATAGATATTGACTAGTGGTACTCATTCCCACCCACAACGCGTGAGGGTACACTCCTCTTAGGCTTGCCAACAACCAGTGCTACAGCTGTTTTAAATTCCTATAGTCTTACGGGTGTAAGATGATAAATATCTTGTTGTTACATTAATTTGCATTTCCTGACCACTAGTGAGTTTCAGCTTTTCATACATTTGTTCGATATTCACTCTGTTATATGATCTCAGGCTATATCTAAAGCTTGGGTCAACTTTGATCTTGGGGACCTTTCTTTGGGGACTTCCTTAGAGGGTGTCAAAGGGTCTGGCTGCACCTGCTCCAGTTAAGTCAGAAGAAAGAAAAGGAAACTAGGCACGTTTCCCAGAGCTCTGCACTGTCTCAGAAAGTTCCAGACACTGTGATGCAGGCTTACAAAAAAGCCTTGAGGTCACAAGCAGGAGTCCCTCAACACAACAATGTAGACTGACTATACATCAATAAAAATATATATACACAAAAAAAGCTGATACTGTAAAACAATAAGAAGAAAACATCTTGGAGTAAATAAAACCAAAATCCTGGAAATCACAAAATAAAAAAAATTTAACTACGTATAAATATTAAAAAATTGAACATGGAAAAATACAAACACAATAATAAGAAAATAGCAAACTGAAAACAAATATTTGCAACATATATAGTAGAATCCTAATCTCCATAAAATAGAAAATGAATTCTACTTATAAAAAGATCAAAACTCCAATAGAAAAATGAGCAAGTGCAAAAACAGACTTCATAGGAAAAAATGGATAATGGACGCTTAAGAAAACATTCAACTTCAGCTATAATTAAATAAATGATAATTAAAATAAGAATTTTAAATAAATAATTTTTTGGGGAAAAAAAGCAGGAGTCCTTTTGTTTGGAGTAGGGTAAGGACCAAAAAGGAACTATACTCCCTTCTGTCACTGCACGCCCCCTCCCTTGGGTCTAGGATAAAACATGACGTATTGGTGAGAGACAGAAGCATCTAGGCCTATTCTGGCTTCTAAGTCTAATGTTTATTAACAAATTGAAAGATAGGCAGGGGGGCAGTTTCTGATGACCAAATCCACAAATCCATGACTGCCTGTATCCACACATACTTCTACAAACTATGATCTGGAGATGAGGTAGGGGTGAAATTCAAAAAAATCTGAAAACCAGTACGACATGGACACTGGCCAGTCAGAGAGATGCCGGCTGTACACAGCAGGAATGGCCCGGGCACTGTGCGCTGGCAGAATGCTGGCCCTGGTGGAACAGTGGCTCAGGCCGTGGCTCTCCCTAGACTCCTTGAAGCTGGTGTTCGGCTTCCCTGCACTGCCTGCCATGTTTGGCCACAGCAACAAGTCCTCCCGGGACCCTTTCTGAAGACCACCAGGTACTGTCTTGCTTTATTTTTTAAACACGCATTCACTTGTTAAAACAAATCATTTCAGCTTTCTTGTCTCAAGGAATTTTTTTTAAAGCATGAGATCTTTTGGAAGCACATTTAAATGAGAATTAGGGGAAGCTCACTAGGGGAGGGTAAATACTGCTTCCCTCTTTTTGATTATTGTGAGAGCTCAGCTGATCCACGGTGAACAGAGAATACAAACTTATTCTCACATACGTGCCTAACATAAACACACACATCCACACCTTAGTGGACACACACATACTCACACGCAACATGTGCGGTGACGCCCAGAGCTCAGAAATTTCAGTGCTCGGGCCCACGTCTTACCTGGACATGGCGGCGGCAAACTCCTCAGAGTTCTTGGCCTTCTTCAGCAAGGCCTTGCCCTCAGGGTTGAAGCCATACACCTCTTTCAGGGTGCACTGGCTCGTATTCAGGATGAAGTTGCAGAATTGAGGGACCTTCAGCTCGACCTGAGAAGAGAAGGTAACGGCACATCAAGACTCTCCACCCAGAGCACAAGATCCCTCCCTCCGCCCAGGACTTTCTGCCCTTTTCCCTGGCTCGGGGTACCAAGTTTCTGACGTCCTCCCCTCTGTATTTTTGTAAAGGACAAAATTTTATTGGTTCTAAATGCACTCACGTTAGTCATAAGGAGGTACAGCTGGTTGGAAGAAATGCAGCCTTAGAGTGAGAGTTAGGAAGAAAACCAGGAGGCTAGCATTGGCTTCAACAGCATATGTTTCCTTAATGGGACCAGAAAAACCCAAAATCCAAAACCATCTGTATCTATCAGGGCCCCTCCAGAGCGTCACAGACAGCTGGACTTTAAGCCCTAGTCATCATCCAGCACTGTTTATGAAGAACCTTCTGCAGTGATGGAAACATTCTCCATTTGCATTATCCAACCTGGGAGCCACTGGGTGGCTACTGGACACTTGAACTGAGGCTCTGTGACTAAGCAACGGAATTTTTACTTTTATTCAATTTAAACAGCCACATGTGGCTCCTGGCTACCTTATCTGACGGCACAGACTCGGGAGCCCTGGGAAGAAGACGACCCAGCCGGAGTTCTCGTTCCCAGACAAACCCCAGTAGAGGCCCCTAGGTCTGTTCCATAGGAACATGGATATGAGTATAGTCAGTCTCAACAACAAGCAAAGTCTTATTTGAGAATAAACTACATGTTTAAATTTTCCATTTTCCATTCGTTTTTAGTAGCAGATACTGTTGGACTTAGGTTATAAAAACCGCACTCCAGAATGCTTTCCTGAGGTGCCCACCTCCCTCGGCTCACCCACCGGACACGTCGCAACACATTAAATCTACTGGTGTGCAACGCGGATGTTCTGGGTCACCCGCTGCAATTACGTCTTGGAAGCGAATGGGGAGATACGTGTGGTGGGTAAAATTTTCAATGGGGGACAACATCTCAGCAAAGTGGCCGACTTTCCCAGCACTTTAAGATTACAACAGTCCTGGCGTGAGCTGGGTTTGCTAAGCCCTGGGCTCCAGGGTCCCCTCCATCTCCCCTCACACCTTGCAGTGGATCTTGGTGGAGCTTCTTGAATCGGCAGTCCCGGGGACGCCACTGGAACTCTCTGCCTTGTAGTCGTACACGTATTTCCTGAAGTGCTTGAATCGTGTTGCATCTTCTGCAATGAGGGGAATTAAGTCAGCCACAGAGCAGAAATAACTTGCCTGAGGACAGTCATTCCTGGGCAGAGAAGGGTAGTGGCATAGATAATCAAAAGTGGTAATTAAACTCAAATTATTTTTAATTGACTTTGCCTTGCACTTAATTTTCCTTTATGGATTTAACTCCTCCATTATAGTTTTGCTGAGGGTAACATTTAAATGAGCTGACATTCCTTGAATATAGTATCTGAGGTGCACGGCAGGGGGTGTCAAGTGATAAGAGTCAGAAAGTCTACAAGACAGACTCCTTGGAAAATGGAGGGTTGTCAGCATGAAGTAAGGATCTTTCATTGCCTTTTCAGCTTGAAAATACCATTATTCTGTGGCTCTTTTTTGGTTCTACCAAATACCTGAGGCAAAGTACATTAACTATTAGGGGTATCTGGCTCACTTAAAAAATCTCCAAGAAGGAATTTCTGGAGGTTTCCACTGTGATTGAGAGGAATTTTCTGAACAATTTGAGAAAAAGAACATTTGGATCATGAACCCAGATGCAGTGATGCAAGATGCCCACGAGATGGCAGTGCTGCCCCATAAGAGGCCTCCCACTCAGCACACTGGGTACCACTGCAAGGCCAGCTTCCTTGACCCCTAGGGGTCAGGTAAATACAAAGGGGTGGGGGTCTGGATTTCTGCACAAAGGTTAAAGTCAGCATTTCCTCCCCTCCTGTGCTTCAAATTAATGATTAACCCCTGACAAACAGGACAGTGATGTCTCTATAAAATGTCCGTGGACCAACAGAATGACAGTCCCTTCCCCACCCTCCCCCAACACCAAGCTTCTGGGACAGATCAGAAGGTCATGTAAAAGAGAGCTGAGACCCCTCAGAGGTGGGCAGAAGCTCAAGGAACGGGCTTCTTGGGCTCAGAACAGTGTACACCAATCACAGCATCACAGCATTTCAGTGACCCGAGGTGCAGAGGGATGGGCTGGGGGGCTGGGCAATGACGTACTTGGACAGCTGGGCCTGACACTTTCCTGCACTTCATCTCCTGTAAGAAAAGGAGAAAGACAACTGAGTTTTCCCTTTCTTCCAGATGGGTCTTAGGGTCTGACAGGGAGGAACACTGAATAGGACTTTGATCTTTTGGGAAGGAAGCAAATTCTGAAGAACCGAATCCCAGCTCCACCCCCGCCCCCGACCCCATCCTGAGGCTGGGGGAGCCACCCAGTTGGTCCCGTGCCCCTGCCCCCTGCCCCTCTGGCTGCTTTCCCCCTAACCCGGGCCCAAGCTGTCCCAGCCACCTCCCCTGCCCTGGCTTCCACCCCTGGGCTCTGATTCTCGCCCCGACCCCCAGCCCCGCACCGCGGCCGCGCTGGGCGGCCTCACTCACTGGCTCGGGCGCCGGCGGCCGCCAGCAGCAGCAGCAGCAGCGGCAGCGCGGGCCTCGGCGGGCCCATGGCCGACCTGGGCGGCGGCGGCCCCGGAGCCTCGCTGGCTGGGCCTGGCCTCCCCGCTGCTCGCTGGTTCCGCAGGGACCCGCTCCC